AGCATAAGGTATGCTAATTTAAATATGCCCTAATCTACCATCATAAGTGGGTAAATAAAAGGGAAGAAAGACGTGGGGTTGGAAGACATACACACACGCACCCACACTTATTACAAATTTGCCCTCGCCCGGAGGGACCAAAAGAATATACAATTTAATTAACCTACAAGCTAATTAAATATTACAAGCCCTTAATTAATTAATAAATTAACTAAGCTATGGAAAGCAGTAAAAGGCCTCGGGAAGAGGAATGAATGCATGCATGCTCGGCTTTGCTCAGAAATCCAACGCCATGCGCAAGTTTGCCTCTGTTTTCCCTGCTCTGCTCCTCTGAAAATTGCACAACTCCCAAGGTATGCTTCATGGACACTGTGGAGCACCACCGGCCAGAAGGAATGACCACCGGCCATGGAGAATGATCATCGGCTACTGGTTAAGCCATCGGCCACTGATGGATGGCCGGCCGGCCAAATCTTCCTGTAGAAACCTGTTTTGGCAGCAGCAGAGGGCGAAACATGGCATGGCAATGCATTTCAAGCAAATGTGTGCACCAACGCATCCCTTATCATGTTGGTGACTCAAAGGGACATGGTTCTCGATTCTCGGACCACCAATCGCGCATTTCAATGCGTGATGGCCCAAGAAACCAAGTATGCACTTTGATTTCAAATGAGATGCACATCAAACAAACAAGTGAGGCTCAACCTCTATCATACTCAATTCAAGAGGCAAAGCATGCATGCCAATGCAATGCAACCTAGGGCGGGCACACTCCCTATCATGCAAGGGACTCAAGGGAGCATGACCCTCGACCCTCGGGCCATCAATTATGCATGATGGCCTAAGAGGCCAAGTTTTGCAACTTTGATATCAAATGAAATGCAAGCACAAAACACATCAAAGGGCCCCAACCCCTATCATGATTGATCAAGAGGCAAGGGATGCATGCTCAATGAAATGCAACCTAGGCATGGAGGCTACATGAACATGCAAATGAGCAATGTATACTAGGCGCGCAACCTAAACATGCAACAACACACAAGTATGCCATAACACACAAGGTGAGCATGCATCAACATGCAAAGGATGGTCTTACACTAACTTGGACAGCTCTCTACTAGGTCCAAAACAGTGGCCAAAATGATGCAACAAAGGCATGAAAACACACACAAGTATGCATGCACAAGGCCTTAAGCATGGAGCATAAGCCATCAACTCTTCAAAGCATGAAAGGGATGGAAAATGCAAGTATGCAAGCATGGAACATGGACTGAAATGTGGTCTCCAATGATGCCAAATCATGAGAACAAGCCAAGTAAAGCATACTAGTGACCTACACACCTAAGGCTAGTAAGCTAGAATGCAAAGAAGCTATACAAAGCATGGAAAATATGAATCCAAAGACCCAAGACAGACCTTAAGCATGTTAAAACATGACCAAAAACTTCACAAAGCTAAGCCAAAATATGCAAGCATGGTGGTCCAAAGGCAAGATGCATTTCTAGGCAAAATAGGGGAATACAAAGCAAGTGTATGATGCATGCCAAGGGTCAACAAACCAACATGGGACAGAGGTAAAACATACTAAATAAACACCAAATACCTACTGAAATAAAGCCAACACATGTTAGAATGAGGTGCTCCTTTGGAAGGCCATGCAAGGGGTTGTTATACACATGCAAGAGGGACACTCAATATGACCAAAACAACTCTGGAAATGGCTTATGGGGGTCCTAAAACCCACTAAAAAATGCCTGAACCGAGCTCAAGAAGTGTGCAAATATAGGCCCCTTTGTAAGGCCAAAAAGGGCATCAAACAAGACAACAAGGAGAGGGGATGGCACTCTCCTTCTTAGGACCTTAAACCACCATCCTCAGCACTGAAATCCCTCAAGATTTCAAATGAACAGCGTCAGTTTTGGTAGGTGAAATGGGGTAATGCTTTGTTTTGCATT